GGCCGCGCAGTCGTCGAGGATTATGAGTGTGTTGGTGCCCTCGGAAAGCCATCTCACGAGCTTCAACCACCTTTCCACGTCGTGCTGCTCGCAGACTATCACATCCATTCTCGGATCATTTTTGCCAAGCCTGTGGTAGGTCCTGTTGTGCGTGAACGTCGGGCAGATGAGAACGATGTAGTTGAACTTTCCGCGGGAAGGGCCGTAGAGCTGGTCCACCACGAACCTTGATTTGCCTGAGTTGGTCGGCCCCATGATGAGAGCGTTGAAGGGTATCTTGCTCGGGTCCATGTCTTACGACTGGAGAAAGTTTTTGCCGCACGAGCGCTGTTCTATTCAATACTGCACATCTTCAAGCTGACTTCCCATAAGGTTGAGCTGCGAGTCGGCGATGACGAATACATGGCATTTCACGTCGCCTGAGCCTTCGGTTTTCCGCTCAATTTCCAGCTGGACACCGTCTGTACTGTTCACAATGTGGGTGCCGCTGCCGTTCATCGACTGATCCGCCATCGCGCGCATATCAATCACAAGCCCGAACCTGTCACCGGTGTAAAACTTTGTCACATCCACGTGCTCTGTTTTATTTTTTTCTTTCACAAACAGGTTGCGGGCCTCTTCCCACATGTCGTTGCCTTCGATGGCGTTGTTGTAAAGCATGATGGGCGAGCCGTTGACCGTGACGTTGACTTTCGTCAGATCGGGGAAGATGAATTTTTCTGAATCTTTCTGACCTTCTTTGGGCGTTGACTTTGATGGTGAGCCTCGAGTCAACGTCTTTTTTGAAGGCTACCTCTTTGTCATGCATCACCTGGTCGTAAAGCAACTCTTTGCCACTGGTGTAAACGCTCTGCGCCTCATCTGCCAGAGTCTTTCTGCAGATCATTTTGTACTCGAGCTGGATGTTTTTCAGCTTGTATTTGAGCTTGGTTGTGTCGGAGCCTTTGACCACATGTATAGCTTGGGCGAGTTTTACGTCGAACTTGAAGTCGTTGTAAAGGGCCTGGGGGTAGAAAACGCCATCGTCGGTTAAGATCTGATGGTCAAGCCTGATCCGGTACTTTTTTCCATATACCTCGGTCACCTTTTCTTCGGCGTCAACACCCGAGGTTTTCATGTCTGCCACTTCTGAGCGGATCTTGCACAGATCTTCGCTCTGAATCTCTTCAAGAATCCTGTTGTCGCGCTCTTCCTGTGAAATGAAAAGGTCTTCGAAAGTTTTGTAGATGTCGTACCCAACCGTGTCTTGCAGTGTTCTTCCCGCAAACGACACGAGCAGCCTGTCAACTAGCGCCCGCGTGACGTTCTGGACGAGGAAGTTGTTTGGGTGCCCCCCAGCAAGGTCTATGTCAAAGACAAGCGCTGGCGAGCCCGGTACCAGAACCTCGTTCTCGTTTAGCTTGGGCACGTAAACGTACAGTGTATTGCCGGGGCTCGCTTCAGAGGGGTTAAAAGTGATCTGCTTGACCGCACGCTCGGCCTTCATGGCGTGCATGGCCTTTTCTCTGTGCGTTGGGCGAAGGTTCTCCGGCACCTCTGCCATTGTGTATAAAACGCGGCCGATTATTTCTAATTTGAAAAATAACTCGCTTGAAATATATCACTATGGCGGAAGGCGGTGGCGAATTGGGTTACGAAGACAAGGGCCTTGACAACCGAATTGACCACGACGATGATGGTGATGGAAAACAAGAGGGTGACACGACCCGTCCTTTTCATCCAGCCTCAGCGTCCACTCCCTACCAACCTGGCGACCCCTACCACGGGAGCGAACAAACGGAAATATCTTCTATGCAGCACGAGAAGTCCGGACTGCCTGACACTTCTTATGCCGAGACATCCTTTTGGGGAGAAGACATCCCTTTGCTTAAACCTGATTTGGAACGGGAATTTGTCATAGACCGGTTAAAAGAGTGTTTCCCAACTTTAAAGAGAGTATTTTTGCAATTATGAAAGGCACCAGAGGGAAAACCAAGGGTAAAATTGTTGCAGTAGGTATGGGTGGAGGCGAGTACAAGATTATGAAAGAAGACGGGATAAACTTCACGCAAAGTTTTTTGGACAAGTTTGCGGACAAAATTGGGCCGAGAGCTGCAGATGTCATTGCGGAAGATCGGGACACCGTCAGAGAAATGAAACAAAGACAAAAACAGGCAGAGAAACAACTACAACAGGCGCAAAAACTTGCTTCGCAAAGAGAACAAGAAAATGAAGAATTGAAAGTTCTGAGACGCAAAATCAAGCAAATCGACGTAAGATTGATGCCATTCAGGATGAACATGGTTCGAATCTTGAAAGTGAAGCAGAGCTGCATAGGCTCAAAGAACTGAAAAAGAACTACCAAAAAGATCTTGAAAACAAGAAAAAAGCTTTAGACTCGCTCACAAAAAAAGCAAGAAACGTGGAAAAAGAACAAGAAAAGGTCGACAGTCTCAGGGCCAAGATCGCAGCAAAAGAAAGTGAAACAAACACCATGGAAGAAAGGCTCAACCAAACAAAACCATTGGACGCCCTGAAAGAGCAGGAAAGCGAGCTGCAGCACCAAAACGAGGAAGACCAGGTGATCATCCAAGATGAGAATGCCTCGCCCTCTGAAAAAGAAGCCGCAGAAGGCAGAGTTGCAGAAAGAAACGAGGAGATCGCCCGTTTGCAAACTCAGATCGCGGAAAGGGAAAGGGGGCAGCCTCTCTTGGAAAGGGTCAAGGAGATCTTCAAAAAATATGGCGTGACGTTGACCGCCATTCTTCTCGCCGCCGGGACCACACTTGGCACTGTCATCGGGGTCCTCACCAGAGGTTTCAAAGCCACCGGCAAAGGTTTAGGGAACAGCCTCAAAGATATTGCCGCGAAACTCGGCTCTCTGCTGCCCAGGCTGATTGGCTCGATTGTGAGCTTCCTGTTAAAAGCCGCCGGCCAAGTCGTCGGGTTTCTGGCCGAGCACACCTGGCTGCTCATTCTTGCCACGGTGGCCTTTTTGTTCGAAAAATATTTTAAGAAGCAGCGTGAGCTTAGCGACAAGCCGCGAACAGCAAAGCCGAAAATCCAACAACTCTGACAATTACCGCCGTTTTGTTAATTTCGTGTTGTGGCGTTTTGTCTGCAGCCTCGGGCTCAATTTTTTGCACCGGTGGCTGTGCTTGTTGAGTTTCGCATGAAGCTGGTTTCCTGTGGGGTGGAACCACACTCCCCGATTCGGCTGTTGCGGCTTTGTGAATCGGGTTGGACGGGTGGCTATTGGGCGGGTTAATTTTTGTCGGGCCGCCTCCCATGTGTTTGAGCCCAGCTTTTTTTGTCTCCGGGTTTACCTTGTTGTTCACCCCAAGTTTCATTCCGGAGACCGCCTGTTTCAGCTTGTTGTTGTAACCGATCGTGCTTGCGGTGTTGATTATCATCTGCGCGGGCATGAGCCACGCCATAGGGGCAACAGCAAGATTGAGCCTGACCTTCGCTTGGTCCACCGCGAGCTGGTACCTTTGCACGCTAGCGGCCAAGTCGGCCTGTCTGATCGCATCTTCCATCAGCACCAGGAACTCGCTCTGGGCTTCTCTCGCCCGACCGCCATGACCGAGAATGCTGCTGCAGACGTTGACTTGCGCGCCCAGGACGCAGTAAACGAAAGCCTCGATTGACTGGTTGATTCTCGACAAGCCCGCCTGCGTCAAACTGTTCACAGTGTTGGGCGCGAACCAGTCTGCTTGGGCATCAGAAGCGGCCTCCGGCTTGATGTAATCGATCAAGTCCCCATTTATTGCTTTGCCGCCTTCGTCGCTGAATTTGTTCCATCCCGCGTATTTATAGTCGGTTTTCGACGGGCCCGTGCCTGACGCATACACGTAAACGCTTCCCAGACCGTGGTTTTCCCCGTGCGTGAAGCGGAAATCGCTTGAGGGGGCAATGCCGAACTCGCCGCATATCCTTTTGTGCGAAGCGACGTCGTAATGATTGTTGTATTGGTTGAACGGCGGGTCTCCGGGCAAAGCGCTCATGCTCTGAATTCCTCCAAACTGGTACAAAATCCGCCTGACCGTGAAGTACACGTAGAATTTGTAGAAAGCTCTTATCTGCGGGGGGAGATCCATCCCGCTGTCAAAGATTTC